GAATTTCTTCCCTTATTTTAGTCCCACGGTCCCAATACATTACATTCCAACTGTTTAAGTTGTGCTGGTTTTGGCAGTTATCTGGATGCACAGTAAACCAATTAAACTGGCTAAACCAGCAAAAGACTTACTCCCCAAAAAAATTTAAGAGGAGTCTTTAGCAGCATAGCAAGTTGAACTGTCTTACTGTGCAATCAGACAAGAACTGGAGACAGCAAAAGGAAGGTGAGTGCTTTCACGTACAAGACCTCCCCCTTTCAACAGCATGCCATTTATTTTCTCACCATGAATCAACAGGAGAGCTTTTTCTCCCTATGAAAATTCACTCAAGTTTAGCCAAACCAAGAAATTCTAGAGGGAAAAAAAAATAGAAAAAAGATTGAATTGTTCACATGTATCTGTAGCTCAGATACTTCAGTCAGGTACTGTATTTTACTGATATACTGTAGTTGTCCATGTGCAAGTCAGGATGCAGCTCCATGAGAGGTAGGCAGCTGCGAGCTGTCAGGTTGACTCACTAAGTGAAGACACACCTTATTGCCCCTCTTTCCTCTGCCCTAAGCAATGCAGACCTGCTGCTTACCTCTGGGTAGCGAACCCTTGTCACAATTCTGTAAGCCACTTCAACTCACTAACACAGCAAAAACACTAATCTGGCAAAAAGTTGGATAGTTTCCTGCCATGTTAATAAGCTCAAAACCGAATTTAACAAGTAACACAGTTGGGACAATACAAAGGACAGGAACACATTGCCCTGAGGAAGACATGAATGAAATCTCTCACTTTCAGCAACAACGAATTAGACTGCCTTGGCTGGTCACAGAGCCACCACCTTAGATTAGCCATTTTTCATTGGAGGTGGAGATTTACTTGAATGCTGCAATTTTCCGTAAGAAGTAGATGCATTACCACAGGTCAGCACCTTTGATAAACAATTTCCCATACAGCAGCAAGTCCTCTTTGGAGCCATCAGTATTTTTTTTTTTAAACTGAGTAAGGATTCTTAATGTTCGGGCAAGAGTTACTATTTAAGTCTGCACAGATCACATTCCATTTCTGATGATACTCCAACCAGAAACAGGAAAAGTGGCCAAACTGAGTTTGCCCAAGCGGATTAGTAGACAGCCTGGAGAAAGGGAGAGAGTCATGAGTCTCATCATTCTTGTGCTGCTAGCTACATGCCCCACTAACAAGAGCACAATCCATCTCATCAACAGAGGACAGGAAATCCACAGATTCTAATAGGCAAATAGTACCATTTAGAGATCTGGTCTATGGATCTAAATCTTCAAGGCAGGGGAAAACTCAGTGTTATTACTGGCATCATAATCAACAGTGACAACTGCCAGAACTCCGCAAGAACATGTAAAAAATTAAGGTTGTCCAGGGAAGCTTAGTTTTACCCACTTACGTAAATATTATGATATAGCACTTATCTGATCACATATTGTTTCTCCCCACCAGGGATCAGACTACATTCAGTTGCAGGCTACATGTAGAGAATTAGATGCGAAGAATGATTTAGACTTCTCCATATGTCTGTGCCTCACTTAGTACGTAAATTGGCTGGCATGAGGTAGAGGAATATAAGAAGTGGCTAATTCCAGAACAAGATTTTTTTAACGATACACCTGTTGAGGTTATCCTAAAATGTCCAGCTAGCCACTGGTGGTAGACTCACATTACCTAAGCACCTCACTTCACATTTACAAAATGATAAATTATCAGGATAACGAGAAAAACTTTTTGTACACATTATATGAGGAACAACAATACAGAGGCATCTGAGAAAGGTCACCCTGTAAGTGTCTCAGGTTGGTTACAAAAGATAGTAGGCAACTTCGTTTACTTGACTTAAAAAAAATAAAAAGTCTTTCTGCCACAATCCTAGCTTAAAACAGCAATAATTCAAACATAGCAATGTTTTTCAGGGATGTTGTGAAAAACTTCAAACTGCAGCTGGAAAGTCTTAGCCTGTATTTGAAGAAAAAAGAAATCCCTAAAAGATTAGTGCAGCACTGTAACAGGTCGCCCAGGGAGGTAACGGATGCTCCACACTTGGACACTTTCAAGGCTTGCTTAAATAAAAGGTAGAGCTGAGCTCCTCTAGTGTTGGCAACAGTTATGCTTCAAGTATGAGGTTGGGCTATGTGACCTCCTGAGGTCACTTCTGAACACCATTTCTATGGTCCTATAAAAGAATGTTCACAGAATGTTTTACTACTACAACAGAAGTGGCCCAGAAACAAGAGTGAAAAAATCCACAGCTACGTGTTAGGTGCAAGGTTTGGCTTTGGAATGGAACAATACACTTCAGAAAGAAGGCAAAAGACATTTATAGCAACTACGCCTTCGTTACACGTTTGGCTTACTACTTGCTCTACTGACTCGTGACAGCAAATAGATAAAGTCAGTGCAAGGTGCATGCAATTTAAATAGACTCTAAGTCTGAAGAATCACGGACCAGTGTTTCATGTAACACAGAAGCTGAGAGATCAGGAAGTGCGAGACAGCCACTTCAACGGCAATAAGGTAACAGATCGTAAAAGCTATTACTGATCTTGAACTTTCTCATTCAAGTCTCAAGGCATGGTCTGGCATAATTTTCACCACAGCTGCGGCAAACAGCTTCTAAAGCTCACCCAAAGAAGCAAAGACTATTTTAAGCACAGATCCCCTACCAGCCAATATCCTTACCGACACATAACTTAGTGAACTTTGTTTATCACTTATGTAGGCATGAAAATAAGTTTAAGTTTCACTAGGGCCAAGAAGCCCCTACACTTGAGGTTCCTGCAGCCAGGCAGACACAGCAAGGAAAGTTTGCCTTGACTTTGTATGTGCTTGCAGCCATCAGCTGCTCGCTCCTGCCAAGAATCACACACCCCCCTCCCGGCACGACCTGTCACTGCGATTCTCACTTTCTGCAGCTTTCCACCCAGTACTTAAAAGGGCCCGAGAGATAAGCGGCCGGGGCTTCCCGTTTCAGCAACGTGACCTTAACTCACGGGATGAACCGAGAGCCCTTTCCGTCCCTGCCGGGGACGGCGGGCGCTTCACCGTTGGTAATCACAGCGGGACCCGAAACACGCTCGAAGTCCCTGCAGCGACAGCCCCCGGGGACGTTCGGTAGCCCCCGCGGCCACAAACCCTCCGGGGGGGAGGGGGGGGAACCCAACAAACAAACCACCAACCCAGCCCACAGACAAACCCCACAGCAGAGGGATAAAAACTCGCCACCCCCCTCCCCCCAGGGAGGGCTGGCGGCGCCGAGGCCTCCCCCAC